CCGGAATAGCTTCACCCCCGTCAATACCACCCGAAGCTCCGAAGTGATCTGCTCCGAATTACCCTCGCCGCGAGCGATGCTCGCTACCATTGCCCCGACACCAGACCGAGAACGCACAGCAGGAAGTGAGGAGGATTCCGGGTCTGACGAGACGGGCTCCTCGACCATGTACACGGAGAGTACCAGTACCGCAACCGAGGTGCTCTCCATGGATCTTGATGCTGACGACGATGGTGATGACGAAGATTACCGCGAGAAAAGCGACCGAAGCGATAGGGGTTCCGTCAAGTCGTCGAGTTGTGACCATAACCGAAAGATAGAGACCCGTTCCAAGCGGAAACATAGCTCTGCGCTCTTCGCGCGAGAAGTCAAGGCCGCGCATGCCTTGTTGAGTTTGCACATGCAAGAAGCCACGGGCAGTGACGGTGACGAAGAGCCTCTGCTGATGGCCTCGAGAGGCTTGAATAGTAGGAAGAGACGGAGGGCATCTGCTTGATGTTTCGGTCTTGATGAGTGATGATGACGAGGTCAGGTTAGAAGGACGGGTTGGCGTTATTTCATTTCCATGGCCCGGTTTGGTTTGTCTTCAGTTTACATGACGCACTCTCAGCAGAGACAGCAGATCGAAATTGATTCTCTTCTGCCCTCCAACCCTCCAGACCAAAATCTTATATACCCACCACTACCACAGCATACAGCGACCACCCCTTACCACTCCCCAAACCCGTAGATCACAACGGCACAACCATCATCACAACACTAATACACCTGACAGTCGTAAGCGTTTACTGCACCTGCAATGCGCACACCATCTCCCGACCACGAATGCTGATCGCCGAAGGTCATCCGGGTAGGCGGACAGAGTAGCGCAATGCTTGCTGCAGGACCTCGCCGGCGGCGTCACTTTCGTTCTTCTTTAAAAACCCATATCTTGTCTTTCGACGATAGCTTCGACTCAGTTCCACATACTTGTCCAGCTGTCTGCGCCCGGCGTTGCCAACCCGGCGGTCTGAAGATGTGCCTGTGTGGTCGATGATGTTGGAGGCATTACACTCTATAAAGAATAAACTAGAGATATTATTAAGCTGCTGAAGTTTGTATTTGAGGAGAATGAATATAAGTATGAACTGAAGTTATATTAGTAGATTATACAGCGTGGAATATGGAAATACTTATATAGGATACTGACTTTTGATAACTGCTTGAACGAGTGCCTTCCTTAGAAAAGGCCATTTTCCGTGCAATGTGGACTGAAGATATGACTCAGGATCAATTTAGCTTTACCAGTTGTGGCTGAAGAGCTGCAAGAAATCCATTTTGTTCTTTTTTAGAGAGAGGTCGCATACGTACTTGATTTTCTAGGACGGTCAATAGCTTACTCTTTCCGTTTTAGTGCTCACCCCTCGCTGCTTTTTGCTCACGGAGTAGATCTGAGCACAATCTGAGCGCGCCCTGAGCAGCCTGAGGCAATCACTGAGCACAGGTGAGCAGAAGGCTGAGCACACTGGGCAAGTAGCCTCAATAAGCTGCACTCCAACTAATAATCGCCCCCTTCAACGATTCTCCCCTCGCTGTCTATTTTCGCCCGCCACACTCCCCCAAAGCCCGGCACTGCCATCAGGAAAGAGACGTATTGGTCGAGCTCCTCCCATTCCTTCTGATGCCCGCGGACTCTTTCCCCAGTAGGGTTTTGCTATAGTTGATCGTGCTGCACAAATTCTACAAGACATTTTGGTGGGCTTTCTCAGTCGAAAGACAGCACAAGCTCAGATGTTCATGGGAGCAGCTCCGGATATCTCAGGAGTCAAGGGATCCTCAGAACGCCAAACGGCGCAAGCCAATTGATACATCTTATGACGTTCTTTTCGAAAACTTAACGGGTAGAATGGCGTGCCAATCTTCCCCGCCAAAATACGTAACGCTGAAGATCACCAAGTGGATGAATGAGATCGAAAATTAGTATGTAGCGTTGATTAGTTGTGATAGTCATAGCCTGAACGGTTTGAGATCTACAGTATAGAGGGATATCGGATTCGTCCTAATCCGTGTAAATTCCTTCCGTGAGGCTCTATTCTTCGTTGTCCGAAGCATCCCGATGGGCTTAAGCACAGGACAATGCCCCAGCAACATGTGGGCATAGCTGGTGTGATGGTCGTTACGTCGTACATGAATACAAGTAATGCCTTGAGACTATTTAAACTGCAAATGGTCCCCCATCTAGTAATATCAGTCTCACGCTCTCAAGTGAAAGGGTGCTTGATTACTTCCTTCGTTAATCAGACTGTCGAGAGAGCAAGAAAGTTCTCTAGGAGTTCAATGGAAACAGGCCCTGCAGACTCGAGATATTTCACCTGTTCGATGCCTTTGATGTCGGAATGCGGCCTCCTTGTTCATTTGTTGCGATAGGTAAATGTAATCTGGTAGATGGGGTGGATATTCGTTTCGTTCGCTTTGCTTATGATTACAGATTCCGGATACTGTGACGCGAGAGTGATACGGGTAGCATATTCATGACTCCGAGATCGGGAGCTGTGTCCTGGGCGCTCAAATGAAGCATATGGCGTCTTTGCCGTCATTAATACCGGTTGGTTGGTGCATTCATGCGCAGGCTTGTTGCATCTAATGGCAATATGCAGTTTTAAACTATTTAGGTCTTTCTATTGAACCTCACACGTACTTTTTCTCCAGGACGAATTACAAGCCTTGTCGAGACCAATGGTGGCAATTATGGCCTGAGTCCCCTTTCTAGCCGTTCGGTTGTCCGGCCACTACAAAGTTTACCTGATGCTTTGGCACATGTCGCATTGCCCCAGGAAACCCCCTCAATGAGATCTACCAGAGCACTTCAGAAAACTGGCGCGCAATCCACAGAGGCTGGCAGCAGAGACCCGACAGCGCCTAAAGACGAGAAAGTAAGCAACACCTTTTACCCCTCCGGAAAACGACCAGTGCAAGGTCTTAATGTGGCGCATGTCGAATCCATTCCAACCGTCGGAGCTGATCAGAACTGAGCAGAACATAACAGAGAATATGCTCGTGTACGACATGAAGATGCGAACAGTGGACATATCATCCAGATCCAAAGCAGCAACGGCCGATACTGCTAATGACTAAGCAGTGAATGGGGAGGCGCGAGGTGGTTTTAACTCTTTTCGGGCCACCAAAATTCCTGGCATCGAAGCCTTTTAGGGAGAGCCTCGACATCCTCGCGAAGCCAAAGAAGCTTGCTGATTGGAAGGCTCCAGCCTCTTCTTTCTACGCTTCTTTTGCCGACAGCAAGCACATATACAGCACCCGACGACTGCGAAAACCGCAATAATCGGAAGTCCAACAACGAGAAACCACCTTGTCGCCGTGTCAGACCCCCTATCATGATAATTCTCGCTGTTGTTGGTGTTGGTCGGCCCCGKGGGCTCTCCACTCGAGGACTCGCATAGCAGTCCGCCTTCCACCGCGGCGCCCGGAACCCAGGAGCTCAGTGCAAGGGTAGTACAAGCACCAATATCCGGCGGTGGGGGATGAAGGGTTGGCACATCGGTCGAGGCCCAGGTGATGTGCCATGCCTCATGCATGCGTACCGTCGGTACCGGGCTCGGGATGGTTTGCCGGGGAAGCAACGCCGTAGTGGCGGACACACTTTGGAAACACGCCGGTAGCGAGGTGCCGGGGATTGGCAGGCCGTATAAGGTAGAAAGGGTGAACCTCCTATTTCCATAATTAGTGGAAGGGTGCATCTACCAGCCAGCGGAAGCGACACCAAACCAAAGAGAACAAGCTAAGAGGATCGAAGCAAAGTCGCCTGGCGTTTGAGGACTGTGGAAAAGAAGGAATCAAGCGTCACTCACTCGGAGCAGCAAAAGGCGGTGGTTACACTGCGTGTTGCCGCTGTCATAGGGCTTGCCGACGACACCGTCCCCCCGATGCTATACGCCGTCCACCCGGCGGGACAGACGGCGGGGCTATATTTAAAGCGGGAGCTCTGGCTCACACCCCATCCGGATGGTTGGCAAGACGGAAGTTCCTTCGAGACAGACAGATGATACGAATGTTTGGAGTAGAGCAGATAATCCGTGGTGCTGTATTGGTTGCCACAGCCGGGTGGTGGGATAAAGGGGGTCGTCAGCGGCTGCAGAGAGATATCACTAGTGGACACGGTCGTAGCAGACATGATTGTAATGAATGCCCCGGAATATCATACTGGGACGGATGGATGGAACCTGGGGCTGTCTCGGCTATCTCATGCTTTAAGAATATGACAAGATTCCAGTTGTAACATAAAGGGACGGGGACATGATGGCGACTTGGCACAGAGTAATGCATCCTATCACTTAAAATATGCTAATATAAGCTTGGTTACTAGGCAGATCAAGAGGGGGTGGAAATGAGCTACAAGCCACATTTGGCCCCCACTCCCATTTGGCCCGTTCAATGATGGCACTATTATAGTACGGAGCACGGAGTATGGAGTATGTAGGAACATAGTCCCTAGACCCTGCCAGTGCATCCTGCTGTTCGACCCTGCGGCTGCCCCGTGCACGTGTGCCAGCAAGCCCATATCATTGGTGTTGAGGACTGGTTCATGCATGTCAGATTATCAACGTCTGCGCTAGGGCAACATGGGGTCATAGATAGCTTCATCTACCATCAACCTACTGATGGCCTCCGCAACAAACACCGCCGCAATCCACGCCAGATTCAGACATGGACGGTGTTGGGACAATCCAGAGCCATCCTTGGGGAATCTATACAATCTAACAGAGATCCTTGTCAAACTAGCAGCTCGACCAGCTGTCAGCACTACCTTAAAGAAGGCACAACTCCGCTCACGTGTCGCCATGGGATGCAGTCTCCCCGGAGAAAGGGCGTGAACAACACTCTGCTCATTGTTCTTCCGAGCCAGAAGAGCGGCGACATTGGCGTCTGTAACTGCAGGAATCAGCAGTAGCAGGGTTGTCCTGCATATCCCCCTGTCCAATATGCGATATACCCCTTAATCAAGCATGGCTGATTCGGGCTCAACCTTGGAGTAACTGAGCTCTGTATATAAATTAAATAGCGCAGTCGCTCCATTTCCCTTCTTTAACAAGGACCAGATACTTGTTTGTTGAGCTGACCTGGCTTATTTGCTCCTTTTTGCTCCCTTTTGTCACTGAGCAAGATGTGGATCTCTCTTTCTGCCACTCTTTCCTGGATATATATCCTTTCCTATTTTGTCCTCGTCCTATCCAGTTCCCACGCCCACTGGGACCATGCTGCCCATCATCGAGCGTTTATCTCCCCTCGGGGTGAGGCGGCTGTTTTGCCCCCAAATGTGGTGGTGCACAACGCGACCTCGAGTGAGATTGCAACCGCCCGTCAGATAGTCAGAGAGGCCGTTGCGGAAATGACCAAGCGGAATCAAGCCCGTCTTGCCCGCCCGTCATGTAACAACTACTCTATGAAGCTGGGGACAAAGCTGGGTAAGCGTGACGACGTGGATGCACCGCCGCCTCTACTCAATATCACCGACTAGATTGCCCGCGCGGCAGCGCTGGTGGCCAAGCTCGAAGCAGGTGGCTCGGCTGGTGGAAACTACACCAAGTTATACTGGAGGGCGGGAACGTTCTGGATGGAGGGGATCGAGCGAAAGGGTGCCATCCCGTGGGGAGATAATCCTGACTACAAGGTATCTACTCTCCGGCAGCCAATTCCCTCAACATCTTCAATCCCAAAGACTACGCTGACATGATGCAACTTGTAGGTCTTTCGACATGTCGTCAATGACTATGGGGCTGATCCCACAGGTCAAAGAGTCAGTATGCCTAACGGAAGCACAGTATAGACGATGGGACTAAACAATGGTAGGATTCTACGGCAGCAATCCAAAGGGCCATCAATGACGGTAAGCGATGTGGCGCCGCTTGCAATGGGGCCACTACCAAAAATGCCATCGTATATTTCCCTCCCGGAACGTACCTTGTGTCTAGCTCGATTAGCATTTACTTCGGCACTCAGATCATTGGTGATGCAATTAACTTGCCAACCATCCGAGCCGCCTCGAGCTTTGTCGGTCTCGGAGTCTTGTCCACGTACGTCTACTTGATAACGGTGGAGACGGGCCCGATGGCAATGCGCTGGAGTGGTATATCAACACTGCGCGGTTTTATAGCCAGATTCGCAATTTGAAGATCGATATCACGGCAAGCAATCCGGGTGCCTATGTGGCTGCACTCCACTATCAGGTGGCCCAGGTGATGACAATTGAGAATGTTGAGATCATCGCAGATTCTGCCATGGTAGGTGTTGAGACTTTCAAGTCCACTAGCACTTAATTGGAGCCGGCTGACTATTTTACCTGACAGACTCAGCAAGGCATGTACGCGGAGAATGGTAGCGGGGGCGTCATGTCAGACATCACTTTCACCGGCGGCAACTTCGGGATTTGTAAGTGAGACCTGGCAGTCTAAGCCTCAACACTGACAGCTCACAGATAGAGGCAGTCAGCAGTTCAGTGCCGCGCGGTTGACATTTAATGGCTGCAATACTGCAGTCAAAGTCATCTGGGACTGGGGTTGGGTGTGGAAGAGCATCACGGTCAAGAACACCAAAGTTGGATTCCGACTATACAACGATGCCAACGGGCAGATCTCAGGCTCGGTGACCATTATCAACTCGGTCTTCTCCAGTACCGAGTCTTTTACAATTGAGATGGCCGTCCCAGTTAATGTCATGGACTCCGGATTCACCGGGTTGGTTTTGGATAATGTCCGGCTGGATCGTCCAATCAAAGACCATTAGAGTGACAACCTGATCCTCTCTTCCAGATATTACAAGAGCATATGTTACTACCCTAAGCTGCCCCCATTCAGGTCACAATCTTTGCTGATTCAACAAACAGTATGTGATGGGGGCAACATACAAGGAAAACAAACAGTCCTGGACCAACGGGCCAAAGGACTATGACTAAGAACCCTCTCTCCTGGGACCATCCATCGCGGGACTTGATGTGGCTCCTTACTTTGAACATCCCAGGAACCAGTACACTAACAAAACCGCAGTAGACTTTATTCATCTCAAGGATGAAGGTGCTGCTAGCGATGGCTCAATAGACAACACAGACGCTGTTCAGAATGCCTTCAATAAATATGGCAATGGCAGCAAGATCATCTTGGTAGATACCAGCACCTACATCATCAAACGCACCATTACTGTTCCCAAGAATGCAAAGATCATCAGTGAGACCTGGTCGCAGTTTGCAGCATCAGGAGGTTACTTTAGCAATGCCAGCAAGCCCGCGGTTATGCTTAGGGTCGGTAACAAGGGGGAGGTCAGCAATATAGAGCTACAAGATCTCATCTTGACAAGCAAAGGTCCGACCCCAGGAGTTATCCTGATGGAGTGGAACGTCGCCGCAGAAAGCGCAGGCTCAGCCGCGCTGTGGGATGTCCACATACGGCTGGGGGGTGCAACGGGGACCAAGTTAACGCTGACAGAGTGTCCTCCGATCACCACTGGGACCAATCCATCTTCATGTCAAGTGGCTAGCATGCTCCTACACATCACCAAGCGGGCTTCAGGCTATTTTGACAACATGTAGCTTTGGGTGGCAGACCACATGATTGACGATCCGTTGCTCAATGACCCATTGAACAACATGGAACAGCTCTCCATGTACAGTGCACAGGGCATGCTGATCGAAAGCCAAAAGGCCACATGGCTGTACAGGACAGCTTCGGAGCATAGCGTCTTCTACCAGTACAACTTCAATGGCGCCCAAAACATCTTCACCACGTTCTTGCAGACCGAATCACCTTACTACCAGCCGACGCCGAAGCCCCCTGCACCATTCGACCAGGTGGTCGGTACCTTTGACAGCGATCCCACGTACGGCAGCGATGGCAGCGATGCGGACGGCTGCGATGCCTCGTGCGCTGTCATCATGAAAAACCTCCGAATGCTCAAAGCACTTTGATTTTAATCCACCATTCTCTGAAAGTCTGAAAGTAGAAACAGTGGCAGTAAGACCCGATCCAGCTCGATTCCTGTAGACTCAAACTTTCTTGGAATCATCATGATGCTAGGCATCCCATAAGTCCTCGAGCCATCACAGGAACTGACAAACAGCTATGACCACACAAAGCCAAGTCCTTTTTGGTCAAGGATGGGATGATGTGCATCTTCTGCTGATGCCCAAGGCCGAAGCCTTTCCTTAGGGGTTTTCTTGCCCACTGTTATAGATACCCTTAGGGATAATAGTCTACCCTCTATCTTATCCACATGGGCCGGTTCCAAGACTGATACTAKACAGTAGACAGAGATTACTCATGCGAACCACGCACACTAATTAGCAGCTGTCCATGGTAACGCGAGTTATATTATGTCCCAGGCATGATAGTAACTCACTATGTATGAGGCTGATCGAAATGAAAGAACCCATAGACAAGACGACACCAACGAGATGTAACCATAGAATCCAAGTGGAAAAAGAATTGCATGAAAAAAAGAAAAGAAGAGAACAAAGAGCGGGTATCCAGACGATCAACGCCTATGGACATTCTCTCCCTCTAGTCACTGTCCTCATCATCAAAGTCATCGCCCGAATCTCCTCCATCGTCGTCCTCGCTGTCATCCTCAATCACGTACGTCTTCTTGGCTGCCGCAGTCCGACGAGCTGGCCGGGCCGCAGTCTTCCGCTTAGGGGGCTCATCATCCTCCGAAACGTCCATCTTGCCTGCCGGAGAGTCCAGGATGTCGTTGGCCATGGCATCGATGTCGTCATCTGACAAATCGTCGACAAGCTGCTTCTTCTTGGTGGCTGTCGCCTTGGCCTGCTTCGATGCATATGCCTTGGCGGCAGGGGACAGAGTCGTCTGCTTGAGACTAGGCGCAGGAGCAGCCGGCTTCGCCGCATCCTTCTTTGGGCGGCCACGCGGCTTGGGGGCAGCTGCGGGCTTTGAGGCCGCAGCCGTGGTTGCCGACTTGCCTTTGGCAGCTGGCTTACCCTTGGCAGCTGGCTTCACGGGCTCATCGTCATCGTCATCGTCCATGTCGAAATCATCGTTGACTTTGATCTCCTTGGGCTTGACCTGCAGCGATCGGCGGGGAGAGTTCTGAGGGATTAATTTGCTGTAGTCCGTCTCATCCGCATCGAAATCGGTGGATAGCTTCGAGGGCTTGGAACTGCCGACCTTCAACCCAGAGGAGCTGCTGCTCGGCCTGGAGCGCTCAGAGAAGAGCTGGCGTGAGTCGGTCGTGGAGTCACCGGTAGCGCCTCCAATGCCCTTGACCATCTTGCTCACATCTCCAAGAAGATCGTCGCCGTTATCGCTGTCGGAGTCGTCCAGGGCCGTATAGTTTGTGATTTTCCGGCTTGTCCTAGTCGGCTGGGACTTGGCTGACTTAGCTGCCTCGGCTTTGGCAATCTCCATGAATTCATCGTCATCAAGGTCGTCGTCATCCTCGTCCTTGGGCTTGGGCTTCGCCTTGGCCGCGGCTCTGCCCTTCTTAGGAGCGATGTCTTCAGAATCATCATCGTCCTCTTCCTTMGGCTTAGGAGCCGGTTTGGCGGGTCCGCGGCTCTTCTTCGGGAGGATTTCTTCGTCCAAGTCGTCCATGACTTCATCCTCATCCTTTATCTTGGAAGCTGCCTTGGTTGCTGCTCCCCTGTTTTTCTTCGGTAGCACTTCTACCTCGAAATCATCATCGGAATCGCCTCCGTCACCGGAGGGAGCAGGAACGGGAGCAGGCTTCGCGGATGGCTTGCCCAAGTAGCTGAGAAGACCACCTTTAGGTTCTGTCTTCTTTGCAGCCGCTGATTTCTTAGACTTTGGAGCCGCAAAATCTTCGTCGTCCGAATCATCGTCCAGGGCCGCCTTGCGCTTCTTGGTTGCTTTCCCCCGACCAGTGGCAGTCATGAGCTTCGCCGATGTACGGCGGCCCATGTTAGCGACCTTGCGCTGGCGGCGAGCTTCATCCTCAAGCTGGAATCGCCATTCATTGATAAAGTCATCAAGATCGCGTCTCCAGATATCTTCCTTGGAAAGCTTTATTAAGGCGTCCATCTCAACCTCCTTCTCTCCGATCTGTCGTCGCAGCTTCTCCACGCGCTCGTGGGTTAGAGACCACAGAGGCATGCCAAGAAGATAATCGTAAGCACTCGATAAGACCTCTGTCTCGTCGTTGCCAGACTCCTCCTCTTCCTCCTCGACCACTGGCGCATCCTCGCCAGCCTTCACAGCGTCAATAACCTTCGGGAAGGCCTTGAAGCCATGTTTCTTCAACTCGGCGACAAGAACAGGTTTCTTCTTCTTTGAGATAACAAGGTCACCGTCAATKATCATCTGCACGAAACGAGCCTGATTGGTGAGCTTGTCCAAATCCTTCTGAAGTTCATTGAGTTGATATTGCTAGAACTCTAAGTCAGCATGCCTTCAAATATGCAAGGTGTCAGAGCCACATACCTTGCGACGTTCGTAAAACTTGAGACGAACTGCGTAGAATTCCTTCAAGATATCGTCGACGGAAGCGTACTTGGTGATCCGGCCCTCAGGGTCAAAAGCAACCAGATTGGTGGTTGCGATGGTCTTGGACAGCTTGAACTTCTCCTCCAATCCTTCCGACACGGCGGATTTGATGTTCTTCTCGTCCATTTGGATGACAAAGTGTACCTTGGTGTGCGTGTTGTAATCCCTGTAGTCCTTGATGAAGGATGGCGTTTTCTCGGCCTTGATAATTTCCTCAAGTTTATCCTTGAAGTCCTGTGTCCAGGTGCGGATGGGAAGTTCAGTAATCTCCACCTCCTTGTCGCCGGTCTCCTTGATAATACCGCTGAACTTGAAGCGGTCGCCTCCAAGAGCTGTGACTTCGCCGGTGAATCCGCGGAACCACGGCTGCATGGGCTTGATGGGCTCGCCGTCCATCAGCCGCTTGAGGTTGTCCACGATGTCTTCCGGGTTGTAGTTAGGGATTGAAGAACTCCAACCAGTGCCGATACCGTCAGCACCGTTGATCAGGATCAGAGGCACAACGGGAACGTAGACCTCTGGCTCAATCTTCTTGCCGTCATCCTCGTTGTAAGTGAGAAGGGGGTCATCCGCAGCGTGGAACATACGACGGGCAAAGGGCGACAGCCGCGTGTAGATATAACGAGCACTAGCACAATCTTGACCGCCTTGGAGACGACTTCCAAAATTACCACTGGGCTCGAGGCAATTGATGTTGTTTGATCCGACAAAAGTCTGTGCGAGACCGACGATGGTCTGCTGGAGGGAGGTATCACCATGCTGGTACGCGGTCATACCGGAAACGTGCCCCGCCAGTTCAACCACTTTCATATCCTTCTTAAGGTTGCGACGGAAACACGTGTACAAGACCTTACGTTGACCAGGTTTCAAGCCGTCGACAACAGATGGAATGGACCGCTGATTGTCAGCCATACTGAACAGGATGAGCTCCCTGTTGATGAAGTCGGTATATGTGATCTTCTCGACGGAATGATCCAGATAGGTTCCAGGCTTGAACTGGCGCAGCCATTCCTTACGCTCGTCCGCCTTCTTCTTGGAGAAGGCAAGCTCAATGAGCTCCGTCTCATGATCCTGAATGGTATGGAACTCCTTCAGATGGCGGTCGAGGTCACGGAAGTAGACCTGGGCATCTTCAGTCGTGCTAGTACCCAGACCCTTGTAGTACTTGTGTTCCCAGCCGCGTTCATGCTTGTGCTCCTCTTTCCAGGCCTCATACTCGGGCATGGTGAAGAACGAGCGCTGCTTGGTAGGGTTCTTAGGATCGCCTTTCCAAACCTTGACAATAGGAGTGATGAACTCAATCAAGAACTCGGGGATCTTCAGCAGACTAGGAAATTGAGCCTGAAGAAAGTTGATGAGCAAGCCCTTAATATGACTGCCATCATGATCCTGATCGGTCATGATCATCAGATGACCGTAGCGCAGCCCGCGGGTATCGGTGTATTCCTTCTTGTGTTGTAAACCAAGGAAGTTCTTGATATTTTGGATTTCCTGGTTCTTCGAAATCTGCTCAAACGACGCATCGCGGACATTGAGCAACTTTCCCCGCAAGGGGAAGACACCGAAAAGGTCGGGTCCGACGACCGCCCGGCCAGCCATGGCAAGACCCTTGGCCGAGTCACCTTCGGTCAAGATGAGAGTGCAGTGGTGACCATCCTTGGTACCAGCCTTGTTGGCGTCGACCAATTTCGGGTTGCTCATGCGGGTGCGACGCCCACCATCCGTTTTCTTCAGCATCTGATCCGCCTTGGCTTGGGCGAAGTGCAGGATGTTGTTCATGACTTCGGTCTTCAGGATCTTCTTGTAGAAGTCCTCTTCAAGAACACATTTGCTGCCGAACTGGCTCGACTTTGTTGTCAGCTGCTCCTTGGTCTGGGAGGTGAAGGCCGGGTTCACAATTAGAGCGTTCACAAAAATGAAGATGTGGTTTCGGATTTGGGCAGGCTTCAGCGTCGCTCCGTTCTTGTTCTTCTTCTTGACTTGGTCAGCCAACCTGGCGCAGATTTGATCCGCAATGTAGTTAACGTGGGTTCCTCCCGAGGTAGTAGCAATGGAGTTAACAAAGGACACCTGGTGAAACGAGCCGTCCGAGACTGTAAATCCGACTTCCCAGTGAGGGTCTGGGCTACAGGTGATGATTTCCTCCTTGGCGTTGGTGTCCTCTTCGCCCCGTTCTCGGCGGATGGCCTTGGTGTACATTTCCATGTACTTCTTGAAGTTTCGGACTGGGATGCGGCTACCATTCAGCTTGACAGCGACCTTGGCAGTTCCTGCCAAATCGTAGACACGACGTTTGACGAGAGCTTCAAAGTCATCGTCCATGCCCTCCATTCCGAATTTGGCGTAGTCGGGCTTGAAGGTAACTTTAGTGTAATCGTCGCCCTTGGCATCGGTGATCTTGGCCTTGCCCATCTTGGACATGTTGCTGGTCCAGGTCTGCTTGTACTTTTTCTTTTGACGGGAGTCTTGAGTTTCGATGGTGAATTCGGTGGAGAAGACGTTGCAAAGCTTAGCACCGAAACCGTTGCGACCACCGGTCACCTTCTGCTGGGTGTCGTCGTAGTTGGACGAGGTTAGAAGATGGCCGAAGATCAGCTCGGGAACGTAAATCCCTTCTTTCGCATGTATCTCGATGGGAATACCGCGACCGTTGTTCCAAACACTGATCTCCCCCGACTCGCGGTCGATGGTCACACGGATCTCATCCATGTTGGCATCGTTTTGCTTGTTATCGGCAGCGTTGACGACAATTTCGTCAAAGATCTTGTAGAGACCGGGCACATAAGAGACCTCCCTGTATTTCATTCCCTCCATTTCCGAATCGTACACCCACATATATTGGGTAGTCCGTTCGACGGATCCGATATATGTATCTGGACGTTTGATAATGTGTTCAAGTTGTGTAAGCTGGTAGACAGTGCCAGTTAGCATGTTTCCTCCGCATAGTGGAGTCCAAAGGTCAGTGCAGAGTCAACAACAGACTCACCTTCTGGTACTTCTCTGACGCATTGTTGGACTGTGCAGGTTGATCGCCAACTTCCCCTCCAAATGATTCGTTCTCCACGTCTGCAAGAGGCTTCGAACCTCCTTTCTTGCTAGCAGGAGCCTTCTTGACCTTCTTGGGAGGCGTATGTGAAAGAGAGGAGTCGTCGTCGGACATTCCCTTGTCGTCAGACAGGTCATCCTCACTATCGGGCTTGGGTCGCTTTTTTGACGCGGTCGCCTTCGCAGCTGGCTTAGCTGTGAGTTTCGTTTGAGTCATTTTCTTTGGTGCCGCTTTCTTGGGGGCGGCCTTTGCCTTGGGTTTCTACAAGAAGACAGGTGTCAGCACGAGCTGGCTGGATTGAGAAACTGCCAGATTTTTGAGAATTCATACCGGTGCAGGCTCAGGGACGAAGTCCGAGCTACCATCGTCCTCAAAGACGGAGCCCTCCATGATAGAGTCATCCATGATGGGGGAATGTTATGAAAGATTCGAAAAGCACGAGCGGAGAAATGAAGCGGAAAGAGGCAAATCTGGGGGGTCAACGAGTGACAAAGGGTTAGTAGGAACGAAGGGATGCCAGAGACTAAACCTCCCGCATGCTCGTAGGAGAAGGTGAGCGAGAGATGATGACAAGGCGATACCATTCCCTCTCAATTCCCGTGTCGTCGAGTTCTTATGGTCTTTTCCCTGTTGTTGACGCGCTGCTCTTGTGGTTAAGGTTGCTGCCAGAAACTGCATCAAGCCACGCGGAACATTATTTTTCCCGCCGAAAGTGGCGCAAAAGGGGCCTAAAATGGAAATTCCCAAACAAGCTGGCCCAAAGAGGAAAGCCGCGACCCAAACAATTCCAGGAGTGGAGGTCGGGGAGGGGAAATCAACAACACAAAGTCAGCAGTAAACACTAAGAAACGAGGCTACCAAACGAGGCTACCATTTGTAGACAGACAAAGAGTTACTTGGTTTAGATCTATTATTAGACCTGGTCAGCCTTCTAGTTGATATCGACCAGCTGTGAGCTCGTTCGCTGAGAAACAGACCAAGTCGCCCTAGACAACCATAGGTAGTATCGTTTGCAATCAGAAGCTTGGGTTCCTTTTGTCTGCCAGCTATCTGCTCCAGAAGCTCATTCAGAAATGTCATAGATTTCCTTCGTTATTTCAATTTGGCACTATGTTAAGGGAGGGTTTAGTTGAAGGATATACTCCATACCGAGACTGATACTTGACAAGGTGTACCTGCATACCTCTCAACAACATATAACAGCAGAACTCGGTCACAGCGTCTTGATGGAAGCCAACAATAAGGGTTGACGACCAGTTGACACGCTGGAGAGCACATATATATTATAATGATAAGAGTGAAAATCTGTATGTCACCTATCTCTCAGTCCGTGTTCAATTTTAGCCTGTCATTCACACCTAGTGTCTAGTATACAATTCATATCTTATCAAGGCTTCTAGTGTTGAATAGGAACATCTAACAAGACAATATAGCTAGTTTAAGCAGCCAAAGACCTTAGTAAGTAGCTGAAAAGTAGCAAATACGCCTAGGAGTTATACTGATGAAGCTCCGGACATTGACATGTTGAGAAGCGAGCCAAATACATGGATTAGCAAGGCATGTATAGGGCAGTACCGAAGTATCACTCCGTACTCCGTACTTGTAGGCCCCCTGATGCGACATTTCATTATCGGTGCACCGATGTGCCTGAGCAGCCTTACCAATTAATCATCATCCCAATTTTCAAGATCTCGAAATCATCAAAAACAGAAAACCAGAAGGACCATATCCTATCCCAATTCGATCGTGCGCCTTCCAGAGCGCATGGACAATGCCGAGGGGATCATCCCCGACCGCTGGATATCAAATTGACCACCAGTACGGGTTACCTAATCCTTATTTTCTAGTAGTGTGTAACTGTACCAGAGTAGTTCTGATTCCTGATCCTTATTGCAGTAATTCATACCCATTCAGACTCAATCCATGGTTCAAAAGTCCCCCTGTGCGGAGAAATGACTGGTCTTATGGGCCTGAGTGACTGCGTGCCTTGCAGATCGGCCTTACTCCAAATTCAGGGACAATAGCGGACAGACATACTTGGATTCTTCCACTCACTAAGCAAAGAAAATCATCTCCATCAATATTGACACCAGCAAACCGGGAAAGACGTTCAAACTGAAATCATCAAGAATAATTATTGACAAGGGATCGACGTGGGCGAGGCCTTGACGCAGCGAGATGTATGATTCGTGGTTTTCGCGTTTCTCGAACGCACCAAAAGTGGGCTCGGGCTGCCCCTATTTCATCCATTCATCCTGTCATATCCCACTCTGAGTCCTAGCATGGCTGCTAGTCAGACATCGCTGTCCACTAAACCGGTCTAATTCATTATTCTAACACCCTGAGGATCCACCATCTAGACTAGGAGTCCATAGATTCTAGTAGTGTCCTTCGACATTTAGCTTAGGGAGGAGCCTTGAAACACCACCGCTACTTCGCCCACCTCCCTCGACTCCTCCTATACTGCTTTTTTACTCTCAGTTGGCTTAAGGTCTCGCGAAGTCGGTGTTCACCACGTTCTCTTTGCTCTCGTTTCTAGAAGCGATGCTGCCGTTATTGGCGGTTTATCGGCCCTTCGTTCAGCTCATTTCTCCTTATCGCCCTCTGGTTTTGGGTTAATCCTCTTCGGATATTCCAATTTCACATAGATACTGGCTGCGATCTGCAATTGAGGCCTTTTTTGACCGATTAACTGTGGAAGAACGTGTGATAGATCTACGGTGGACCATTCACAATCAAATCCCTAATAAACAGCACATCGACAATGGAGAGCTCCGACCCGATCGCGTCTCGCGCGCATCCCTCGAACAGCGTTTCCGATAACACTGAGCCAACGCATCCGAATCATACCGACTCAATGGTGACGGTCCCTCTATCCGACGTGCAGTCCAATTCCGAACATTCGCAACCCGATTGGCGGACGCTTGATATCCCTCGGACGCCAGTCGAGTCGACCTTGCCTGGGGAGATGGAGGTATATGGTGAAGATAATGTGGGAAGGGAAACGACGCCGACCCGCGACTGCGTGAAAACGGAACTTGTGGCGGATTGCACCTCGGGTGCTCCGTCTGTTCGGTCCCGTAGCAGCGAAGAATATGAACGAGGCGATGCAGTCAATTGGGAAGAATTGGATAAAACAGAAGAGCAAGAGACCCGTGGCGAGGGATCTGATGAATCGACTGCTCTTCTTTTGGCTCGGTTGGAGCAGGAGAACAATGCTCTAGCGACGAATCCCAAGTCTGTGAGTCAGCACCGACTGCAGACAAGGGCATCGCGAGGGCAGTCACTGCACCAAATCAAGCGGTTGATTAACGAGGACCCTCGATCGTCTCTGCGATACTCTCAGCTTCCCCCTCCTCCCATGACTGAGCTCGAGTTCTGGGCTGCCTTGGTCGCGGATTACCCTCAGACTGCCCAGCGATTGCCGACTTTGACCTCCAATAAAATTCGCGGGGGTATTCCGCCGCCGCTTCGAGGCGTAGTCTGGCCCAGCTTGGCGGGAGCTCGAGATTCTGCGTTACTAGCTGAATATCAAAGGCTGTGCGGCGAAACAAGTCCGTACGAAGGATTGATCGGAAAAGATATTGGTCGCAGTTTTCCAAACGTGGAAATGTTTCGTGATCCCCACGGCGAGGGGCAGCAGATGCTGGCGAGAGTTTTGAAGTGTTTCAGTCTCTACGATACTAAGATCGGCTACTGTCAGGGGCTGGGATTTGTCGTCGGACCCTTGCTGATGCACATGACCGATGCGGAAGCGTTCTGCGTACTAGTACGGTGGGTTCACTCAACTAAATATTGTTCTATCTCGAGAGCAGAGCTGATTGTAACAGGTTGATGGATCACTATGATCTGCGGACATGCTACCAGCCTGATCTATCCGGTCTCCATTTGCGCGTGTATCAGTTCCAGAACCTCCTTGCGCGCCACCGTCCCGCTTTGTTCGCTCATCTGGAATCCTTAAATGTGGAGCCGATCTATGTGTCTCAATGGTTCCTGTCCTTTTTCGCAGTGTCCTGTCCTCTTCCCATGCTTCTTCGAATTTACGATGTCATATTTTTGGAAGGGGCATGCGAGACCTTGATGCGTGTCGCCTTGTCGCTGATGCAAAGGAACGAGAAGAAGATTATGGCCTATACTGAATTTGAGGATGTGATGCAATTCTTGCTGTCGAGGAGTTTGTGGGATGCGTGAGTCTGCACGAGCCTTGAAATCCAGGTACGAACTGACTGATATTCGCAGATACGCTTGCCATGCGGACGACTTTGTCAATGACTTTGTCTCGCTGACATCGCTGGTCACTAAGGAAAGCCTGCAGGCTTTGGAAGCCAGTTACAACCAATCGCAAGGGGTGCCGACCGGCATCACTTTCCCTCAGATGCAGGCTGCGGCCTCGAGATTCCTGGGCCGATTCTGGGCGGGATCAAGCTCTCAGACGAAGTCCTTCAATCTCAACCCCAACAGCGGCAGTATGTCAGCTCGCGCCAGTGTGCGCCGATCCACGTCCAAACAAAGCTTGACCTCCACGCTCAATTCGATAGAATCGACCTCCGATGCGAGTACAGCGCCGACGGAGCTCTCAGCAGAACCACCCAAGCAACGAGCCAAGTCGGCCATGTCGCACAACAAAGATCGTGATCTGCACTCACAGATAGAGGATCTGCTGATGGCGCTAAGCGATCTCCAGCGGCAGCATGCAGATCTTACGCGGAAGCTGCAGCAGGAGCGCGAGGAACGGGAGGAGGACCAGGAGTTGGCGAAGTCCATGCTGAACTACATCAAGGAGATGGAGGCGGATGATCCGCCGGTTGAGCTTATCAGCAAAGCGGAAGAGAGATTCGTGGAGGTAGCCAGCACGAAGCGCGACTCGATCCCCCAGACAAAGCAGCAACTCCGTGAGGATCTCAATCGGTGGAAGGAGATGCACGAGGTCGAAGCGGGCCGGTGTCTCGATCTGACGCGTCGCATTGACGAACATGAACAAGAGAACTCGTCGCTGAGAGAGCAGTTGCGCGAGGCTCGCAGCCGCATCCAGGATGGTTACCGAGATCGTCAACGCCTGGAGAGAACCATCCGGGAGCTGCGGACCATCAAGACGTCGACGCCCGACTCGCCACCAGAGTCGTTTGGCTCGCCAACCAGTGACGCGGGAGAGAGCCGGTCGCCCAGCGGGCTCCGGGAACTCAAGCTGGGGCGGTCGAATTCGCAGAAGAGCACGACCTTCAACAAGAGGTCGAGCAGCCTTGGACTCCAGTCGGTCCTGTCAACAGAGAACCACAAACCTGCAGCGGAGGAGACGCTGCTGCTGGAGCTGGTGAACGCCAAGACGGCCGAGGCGGTGGCCAAACAGGAGCTGGAAGAAGTCAAAGCGAAGCTGGACTCGTTGAGGAAGATGATCGGAGGGCAAGGATCATTGTCACGAAGCGATTCGCGCAATTCCTATATTGGCCGGTCCTCGTCGAATCTCACCAAATCAGCCACAGAGCCGGTTAATAGTGGAGGAGGATTCTTCAGTGGCTGGGGGCGGCGAGCCGTGTCTTCCAACGATTCGTACGCAGAAGCCCGGTGATTGTCAGTCTGTCTTTGTTGCATTGGTGTCAGGCACGTTGGATAGGCGTCTGGTTTTCTCATTTCTTCAAGTATATGATACCTTATTTGTATATACTTCACAGATTGTTATTTTTACGAAGACTGTACTAAATTCATACTTATATCCACTGTCCACTCATACAGGAAAGTGCTTACTGAAAAGCAGCCCAGGCCTGCAACGCCCCCATAGCCGCAACAACCACCCCATTCGCCTTGACCCCCTTCTTGAAATACCACCCAGCACTCACCCATACAATCGCCGTCATCAACGCCGCAATCCCCTTGTTGACGGGCTCCGCCAGCAGCGCCGGATTCTGCGCCCAGTTGTAATTGATCATCGCTGCAGTCTAGCCTCAGCCCCAGCATCTTCCCAAGTGCAATAAGGATAAGGGATAGGGACGAACCAGTCATGAGGAAAAAGGCACTACCCTGGTACCAGCCTGCCTTGGCGCAGGTGTAGGCTAAATTAGGCAGTTTGCGGAATTGAGGGAGGGATTGCCAGTCCCGTGCTGAGATCTTCAAGCATTTAGTATCTGCAGTTGCAGATGTGATGGGATGGGGTGGGGGAGAGTCGTACAGTATGGGCTACGGAGATGAGGAGCCAGCCGATGGAGGTGGCTCTGAGCGGGGTGGAGGTAGTTGAGAGGGACATTTTGGCTGTCTGGTTTGTTTCTGGTGATTATTATGCGATGCGGTGATGTGGATGTGGAAGATTGAGATCTTGAGATGGTGTTGAAATAGAAGATGGTGATGACGCCAAGACCGAGTTCCTCGGCTCAGGATGATCGTGATTCATGATCATGGTGCTATGGGCATATAAGACGACGCCTTGCATTTAGGGATGTTTATACCTGTATAGTCTGTGGACACTATAGATCAGTTACAGGTATTACTCTTGTAGGAGCCTATTCTCAAACCCTATATGGGACTACTGTGCCATTGCACTCCTTTAGGGATTCACACATATACACTCCCGGCGCGATCGTCTATAAGAGGGCAAGAGGAGAGCTTGACAAATTCCTGTCTGGCTGAGTGCTTGAGAATGACTTATCTCTTCAGAATTTGGAAGATATGTGCATATTCTGAGATCAGGAAATGTTGAGTTCCAGGCTAATGTCCGCCGCGAATTTTATGATTCTATCAAGTATGATCGCGATATTGGCTACTGTGGATAGAGGACCGCTGTATAGAAGTCTTTAGCCTTTGGATTTACCTGCCCTGTTGATAAGAGCTGATCATTTCCTGGTTTACCGTCGGAGGGCCTCCGATGCGGGGTTGACGTATTCGCGGGGAGGATATCTTCATCATGCATTCAAGAGCACCTCTTCAGATTCAGCAGCTTACAAGATGGTCCTCGCGAAACCAGAGAACAAACATGTCCTCAAGGCCTTTGACCTCACGGGCAGAGTGGCCGCTATAACTGGTAAGTTGCCAATGTATGCATGAACACAAAGCTGATCAGACAGGCGGCGCTCGCGGCATCGGACTGGAAGTTTCTCGTGCGCTGGCCGAAGCAGGCGCCAATGTATGTCTTCATCCATCCCTTCTTATAATGAGTAAAGCTTATAGTCAGGTCGCATTGATTTACAACTCGTCCACAACGGCCGCCACCACCGCCGCAGAAATCGCCTCCGCGAACAACGTCAAGGCCGCAGCCTACCAAGCGAATGTCAGCAACAAGGCTGAAATTGAAAGGACCATCCAGCAGATTGCCTCCGACTTTGGACGGCTCGATATCATTGTCGTCAACTCGGGGATTACCTCGAACGTTGCGGCGGAGGACTACACGGCCGAGCAATGGAAGGAGATCATGCAGGTGAACCTAGACGGCGCGTTCTACACCGCGCAGGCTGCCGCGCAAATCTTCAAGGCCCAGGGACGCGGTAACGTCATCTTCACTGCGTCTGTGAGCGCGACGCTGGTGAATGTTCCGCAAAAGCAAGCTGCGGTATGCTTTTCTCATGTATGCAGCTGCATAAGATTGCTGACGGGAGTAGTATAATGCCTCAAAAGCGGGGGTGGTGCAGCTGGCCAAATGTCTGTCGGTTGAATGGGTAGATTTCTGCAGGGTGAATTGCATCTCTCCTGGTTTTATCGAGACTGATATCCTGGATATCCATCCCAAGGAGTGGAGGGAGAAGTGGTATAGTATGGTCCCTGCGCAGCGGTTTGCGGATACGTACGAGCTGAAGGGGGTGAGTTTTGTTGCCTTTCAGGTGAAGTGCAACAGTGCTGATTTGGTCACAGGCGTATGTGTTTTGTGCCTCGGATGCGTCGAGTTATATGACGGGGGCTAATATTGTGATTGATGGGGGATATACTCTTCCATGATGCTCATGTCTCCGGTGTATGGCAGGATGCACATTGTTGATTCAATTCTCAGTAATTGATAAATTGAAGCATATAAGCGTCGAGCTGCGTCATAATCATGAAGCCAACAGTATCATATCTTCTCCATTGGACCAGTCCACTGAAGCACCAGATAGAGCGAAGAGACTTGCTGAAAAATGATGTAAGGTGGGCTGCAACGTCAGTTGTGTCTCTATGATTTGGGTAATAACTCAAGATGGTATAACCTATCAAGCGAGAAGCAAATGATCAGCTGCATAGGCCTGATGATGTAGCGCCGTTAGGGAGGCAATCGAACAGACCTCTTTGTGTTGGCAGTCCAGATGTCATTGGCGACATTATTCCGATAGTAGCTGCCCCTACTGGAACTAAACTAGAGATTTTGTGCAGTAAAAGCCCCAGGAATTTGGAAGAATTACTTGTAGAAGAATGAGTGTCGAAAGGGCCAATCATGGGTTGTGTATGTAGGCGCTGGGATAAATCTCGCCATTCGGATGTGCAAGTTCCAACACCTAGGTAAGCATAGGCAATAAATCTCGCCAATATACCATTAGACCAACATGAAGACAGAGTTAGCAAGATTTTCGCATAGAGCCTGAGTACCGGGAACATAGCCGCCAGCTCAGCTGAAACAATCTGCACTCCAGTAAGCGCCGCCTTCTACGGCGTCTAGTTGCTGACCACGATCAGCGTCCAGCTTTTGCGTCAATAGATCTGATAGGCTTAGATCGAGCGCAGTCTTTTCCCAAGCATTTCATAGAACAATCCATCTTTGCTGAAGCAAATGGCTGGTGCAGGGGTGCTCGTCGTAGCTCGGCGCTTGAGAGATCTGGTAAAAATAGCAATCCCTACACTACCAGATACATAAGGACGTAGAACAACATATAGAGAGGTAGGAAATGCAGGTACTCGAATATTGTTTCTTGCTGCCAAGTTCGATATCAATAATCCTTACACAATGCAGTTGGAAGAGAAGAAATTGAACCTCCTCTCCCTGGACGGCGGGGGCATCCGCGGTCTCTCCTCCCTCTATGTGCTCAAGGATATTATGGAAGCAATCGATCCGAATAGTCCGCCAAAACCATGCGAAGTCTTCGATATGATCGGTGGGACAAGCGCAGGCGGGTGAGTTACCAGCAATCAGCCCAGCCAACGCTCCATGTCGCATATCCTCATACAAACAGATTAATCGCTATTATGCTGGGCCGGCTCAAGATGGACGTGGACCAATGCATCGACGCATACGTTCGACTCTCCCGGCAGGCATTTACCAGGAAGAATTATATCCCCCTCACTCTACGGGGTAACTTCAGGCCGCGCTTCAACACCAAGAAGCTCGAACAGACCTTGAAGACTGTAGTGGTTGAACAAGGTCTGGACGAGGATGCGCTCCTCCAGGACCCTGATACGTCCTGCCGCGTCTTTGTCTGCACGACGAAACAATTAACTGGGAATGTTATCAGCCTCTCGAGCTTTTACCATATGCGTATAGACTTGGACTTGTACAAAGTCTTGAAGATCTGGGAGGCTGCAAGGGCGACATCCGCAGCGCCGTCGTTCTTTGATCCGTTTGTGGTGATCGACCCGCTGTTKGGGTATAAACGGGTATTCCTCGATGGTGCTCTTGGTGCCAATAATGCTGTTGGACAAACGTGGATCCATGCTGGGGATCTATGGGGGTCAGAAAACCTGAAGAGTCGGCTGGGATGTCTGGTGTCTTTGGGTACTGGCATGCGGGCTGAGATGAACTTTACTGGGGGATTCATCCAGGAACTTAAGCTGAAGAAGCATATTCTGACGGATACGGAGTTTGAAGCGGAGACATTTGCCTATGAGCATTATGATCTAGTTGAGGAACACCGATACTTCCGCTTCAATGTCTCGAATGCATTGGGGGACATTGGACTGGGGGAGGTGAAGAAGATGGACAAGATTGTTTCCGAGACGAGGAGGTATCTTGTCGATGATGCTGTTCGCCAGGAGATTGCGCTGTGTGCTGCATCATTGCAACAGAGGCAGGTCTGAGTAAGCCAGAGCCACTTCCTACCTTGCTTTTGCATTTTTGTTTTGTATCAAAGTCACCTAGCATGATGTATTTACTTGTGCATGTGTATATTGACTTGGAATTTGAATGGTAGCTATGAGTGTATGAACAAATGATCGCCAGAAATCAATTGACAAGAAATTGTTTCAGTTTGAGACCTTCTACCGTATCCCGTAAACCCTCCAATAGAGAAAAGGAACTATGGGGGCACTTGTGATCGATATACCCTGGCTGGTGCCTGTAAATCGCAACCCTCCAATTCGGAGCAACGAATGACTGGACAGATTTGATCAAGCCTGTGACATTGCAACCCTTGTAATAGAATTTGACCTCTGACTCGAGGAGGCCCTTTGAAAGCATTTGCTTCGTGATAGACCAAGCATGATGGAGATACACTCGAAGCTGCAACCTTTAGATCCTGTCATGAACGCTTCACGTTCTCGCTGAAGTTGAAGAATGACCTTGCATATAGCCTGTTGCCTTTTCTGGTTCATCTCGTCTAAATTCGTGGTCAGCGATCTTCCTTATTGACAGGTTCGGTCGAGACTCACAAATGATGCGTGCTGGAATCGGCAACTCCAGTGCATCGATCTCATCCTTGCTCTGCGACATGGCAATGGAGGTCGCTTTCTTGAACTTCGTGGTATTGAAGTACCAAGCGATCCATAGCCACATGATCAAGTTCCGTGAGTATGTATTTGGAAGTTCCTCTCTCAGACAGGTGATCCACGCATCACGGATGAATCCCACAAGATCATTGCATTCATAGTAGTCTGCGAGAACAGCAATCTTAGCAGCGACCTCGAGGCTCACCCTCTTTGGCAACTTGTGATGCTGGCAATGGAGGATTCGAAGGAGGATCAAGAAAGCTTCAACATCCCAGCTCTCAGTGGTAATCTCGACTGATCCGGTTCCAACAAATGTTGAACCTTCCTTCCATTTGCCAGTCAAGGCTTTCTTGAACACGGGAGAGGCCAGCATCAAGTGTTTTGCGGACACTTGAATGCGGACGTCGGCTTTAGACGGTATACTGTCCACCTCGTCGACAGAACATTGGGTGGCTCGTCATTCGAACCTTCAGAGTCGCTAGGCGACAGCATGAGCTCATCATCTATATTGTCTGGTTTTTCTGCAGGCTGTTAGTCAATACATAATAGATAGGTAATACTTAGGGACTCACGGGAATCGACAGGCTCATCAACTGGAGCACTCTCATCATTCCAGACTGCGAAAGGTGCATTGGATTACGCACGATGATTATCACTTCGCCTTCCGGGTCGATAATATGAGTACCCTGCTCCATGGTGATGTTGAGTCGCTTTGAGATTTGCTTCTGGATACTGTAGACGAAGGGAAAGATCAATCAAGTTGAGAGCCAAAGGATCAAATAGAGATCAATGCTTTCAGCAGTAGCTTTAAGTACGAAGGTGACCTTGAGGAAGATGTCTGTCTAGTGGTCCTGCAGCTGTATAGCAAGTATAAATAGTGATGATGGTATCCGAGGGCTCGCTTTAATAGATCGCTTGTATCATATCTAATTTGCTTCCACCTCATCTGCTAAGAGGTTCTCCTCATATCCGTCCCTTGATGGAAACGGGAAGAGCATCGATTAGATTGCTCTCATAGGCAAGTCTGCAGTTTCTCTCACCACTGTCATTTTAGTCTTCCACCCACTGTAAAGACACCCTGCCCATACCTCGCCTAGATCGTAACTTCACCCTTTCATCAACCTTTCCTCGACATAGATCCTGATCCTTTCCACGCCACCACCAGCATCTCACCTTACTACTAACTCCAAATTCTCCAACAAAAGTTAAGTTACCCGCCTACACATTAAGCCGACATATTCGCCGGCATAAGCCTTTTGAGGCTTGTGTCTCGATCCCCGTAATGAAGAAGTCGTCTCCTTCAACATCCACTTTCCAGGGCATCTCCGCGACGCCTTCACGTCCTTGTTTGCCTCACTAGCTGAGACGAGATTGACGACTAGATCCTGAATGACGAAAACCTCTGCCCCTGCTCTGATTCCCTTCTCAGGCGGATGCAGCACAATACCACACAATAGAAAGCGCTCAAAAACCGCGTAGAATGCAATTGTCCCTTAGTTGGGAAGTGGAGGTGAAGGCAGATTCAAGGATGATGCCGAGAATTTCCGCAGCTAGACAAAAGAAAAGCCATTCTATCTATGCCTTATTCTTGACTCTAATACTGACGGCGTTATAGGATTTATGTTAAGGTAGAGGAGGTGGATTTCTCATCTCGCGGAGGCAACAACATTAGCATGCTGCTAAAGTTTTGCTCATCGGCCAGCATGCTCTTCTTGCCACTGAAAATCCCGATGCACTCGGATCGACATGGAATCCTTTTCATTCCTTTCACTGTGGCTGCCTCTGCCTCCCGCAATCTTGTCCCCTCCGACCGGCTCCGAGTTCGTCGTCAAGATTGCTTCGCCTTCTTTAGGCCGGAGTATCAAATGTCCATCATTGATTTTGTGCTGGCTGTCGTCAAGGGAGCGCAAGAGACGATGTTTATCATGGCCGCCTGAGACACGCTGGATTCGAGGTTTTCGCTGCAGCTCAACCTCTTGAGACGAACTCGCGCCAAATTTGCCTGCTATCCGAGAGGACCCGAGGATGTGCTTGAGAGTTGATTTGAGAAGAGGCTGCAACGTTGGAAGACAGGCGCAGACAATGCCGATGCACGGTTCCACGCTGGACCAGATGAATACGTCGCCCATGATCCAGGTGATGTCGAGAGATCTGCTGAGGAAGGTCATGAAATAGATGCGGATGACGCTCGCGACGCAAACACTGCAATTGTTAGCGAAGCCCCTTGCACGTTCACTAGGGACAGGGCAACGTACAATCCTCCCAATAAGAAGATACCGGACACCAGGATCTTCTGTGCCGTTCGCATCTGAAGTTTCCAGACCAGAGGGATGGGAACCATTAGGATTATACCGTCCGTGGCCACGTTGGCCGCCGCGTTGCCGACATAGAAAGGATAGAGGTTGAAGATACATTTGCCCCCCTTGGGATCCCCATACTGCGTCCAGTAATATGATAATGGTCGGCAACAGACGAGGAACGCAATAGTGCACGAGAACCAGTAGCCGACGGTCAAGAACACACAAATCCACATCACCCAGTTCATTCCAAAGATGCGGCGGTAGAACAGGATGATAGAGAGCTTGATGAGTGGAATCGCAACAACATAGATGAGGACATATGCAAAAAGAAGCTGTGGGATCAGCCCATTCGTCTCATCTATCGCCCAGGGTTGGTTGGCCATACCTGCATCACGATGATCACATTGTCCAACTCGACCACCCAAACATGCTTCCCAAGGCCATAGTAGCCTCCTGTGACACGTTAACCTTCGAGCACCTGTCGCGGGATTAAGTATGGAGTTACATACCCACAATGGTGCAGACGAGATTCGCCGTGACGGGGATCTGTTTTCGCTGAGTATGCCCGAAAATAGCTGTTCATTGACAGGGACGTACAAGTGCTACACCGATCAACCAGTCATCCGCCAGGATATTGGTATGTTGCACCTTTACCCTTGCGGTGATCCGTAATGCAATCGCAATGATGGCGAGAATGTACAGTGCGATGACCGTGGCGTTGTTTCTGGGCGTGTGGTTTCCTTCGAGGTCTATGCCTGGGGATGGCTCACCGAACGGGCTCGACATCGCAACTGAAAGTGTCTGACCCTCAGAAGTCACAAATTTCCTGAAAATAAGACGAGCTCATTTCAAAACTGCGATGGTTGAGCGAGGGACATGACATCTTCCGTGAGATTGAGAAGATCTCCAAGCCAGAAAACAGGCATCACCACAAATGTCGGAGTCTCTAGTGAGTCTGGATCAATATCACGTCTCCTATCTAACATCCCTGTATAACCTCCACTTCAATAATTAATTTGCAGGGATGAGAGTCGGTCCACATGATGTTCCTCCTGTCAACGCGCACGACGTTCCAACGCAACGTTATCTCCGACTGGACGGAGTGATTTAGCACGTTTTAGGGCATCATGGCAGCATTAGCCAAAAACGGCTCATATACATCCCTGCAGTGACAGGGATAAACCGGCTCAACATACAGGATGGATTGCCGACTTCGAAATAGGAGGTATCTTGGTTCTTTTGGCGCATTACCCCCCGAAAGTGGAAAAGGCATTGGCAACCGGTATCCCAGCAGCTGTTCAGCGTTTCCACCTCGACAAGAAAACAGCTGTTAAATGGATCCACCAAGAGTGCATATAAGCTAACAATATAGGTTGTGGTATGCATACGGTACGTTGCACTGACCCATTCTAATATGTAACACTATCCAGAGTACACCCCGTCAAGCGAACTATCAAACGAATCATCCCACCCACTAACCCTACTAATCATGCAACTAGCCCAATGGCTCTATTTTCCCTCTTAAACTACTCCGTACTAGACAGAGTCCCCCGGACAGTCCAGACCAGAAATAGACAGGGCCCAGCAACTGAGCTTTCAGGAGCGACTGGATTCGAAAGGGGTCGATGATATATCCCCTCAATCTACCCCCGTGTCCGATCGTCGTCGGGGGAAGTGACAAGTACAAGCAAGATGCATTCAAATGAATCATTCTCAATCTCAAACGGCCACATTCAGGATGACTGGTCTGTTGACCCTAGTCAATTCGCCTTTACGCCTCGAAAGCTCCGGGTGGTTTGCATAGGCGCAGGCTTCTCGGGGTTGATACTGGCGTACAAGCTGAAATACGAGAGACCGATGGACTTTGTCGAGTATACTATCTACGAGAAGAATCCGGAGGTCGGCGGGACATGGTACGAGAATGTCTATCCCGGGGTTGGATGGTTAGTTCTTAGCTTTCTGTACGTTGAGACGATCCGCTGATGATTCAGGCAGTGACATTCCGGCCCGTACGTTTTTATCCACAGTCACTGCTGCTTGATCTAATATCACATAGATAGTTATGTCTTTCCGTTTGAACCAAACCCTAATTGGTCCAAGTTCTATGCCACTGGATCAGAGATCCAGGGCTACATCGTCAACACGACGGACAAGTACGGTCTCAGAGAGAAAATCACATTCAACACGAAGCTTCTACAAGCGCTTTGGAACGAAAAGGACGGAAAGTGGAAACTCACGCTGGAGCAGGCAGGTTCGCTCATCGAGGACGTAGCGGATGTCGTCCTGGATGGTAGTGGCATCCTAAAGTACGCAGCTATTCCTCCGGTCGTCAAGTATGAGGCTGACTCGGGACAGTCAGTGGAAATGGCCGGATATCGAGGGCATGGATTTATTTCAAGGAAAACTCCTTCATAGTGCCCGATGGTAAGCGCTGCGGTTGCTTGCTGGTGCTTTGTAGCTAACAATATAGGGATCCGGACTACGACTGGACGGGAAAGAGAGTTGCCGTTATTGGCAACGGATCTTCTGCTCTACAGATCGTTCCAGCTCTCCAGCCAAAAGCTGCAAAGATTGTCAACTACATCCGCCGCGCGACCTGGGTGTCCACGAATCTTTGCGGGAACTTGACCAAAGATGGCATAGGGACGAACTTTGAATTCACGGAGGAGGAAAAGCAGCGTTTCAGAGATGACCCTGAGGAGTTTCTCAAGTACCGCAAGATAGTCGAGGACTCGTATGTTCGTCCCTGCCTATACCAGAATTGTGTTAATATCCTCAGGGTCAACTCCGTTTTCCGACTCATGCTCTCCGGCTCCGAAGAGAACAGATTCCTGTTCAAGCTCGTCGACAGCGTTATGCGAGCCCGGTTGTCCAAGGATCCAGAGTTAGCCGATAAGCTCATCCCAAAGTATGAAATTGGATGCCGGCGTCTCAGCCCCGGAGACGGCTATCTCGAAGCCCTGCAGGCAGACAACGCAGAGATCTGCTTCGATAGCATCCAACGCATTACCGAGAACGGTATCCAAACGGACAAAGAGGTAGAAGAGTTTGACCTGATCGTCTGTGCTACCGGATTTAACACTTCTTTCATTCCTGCCTGGGAGCTCGTTGGCCGAGACGGACGACGTCTAGACGAGGAGTGGAAGGAGAAGCCCGAGGCGTACTTCTCTGTCTGCGCGGCCGGCATTCCGAACTACTTTATGTTTGCAGGCCCGAACTGCCCCACTGGACATGGCTCGGTACCGCAAATGCTCGCCTGGACGGCGGATTATATGTTAGATTGGGTTCAAAAGATAGCAAGCGAAGATGTCAAGTATGTCTGTCCCTAGTCTACCCCGCCATCTACTGACGTATCCAGATCGGTTACCGTCAAAGACTCCGTCGTTCGTGACTAC